GAGTAATCTTTCGAAATTGTTCCCAGTCGGCTTTGTTTATCAGCCATTTGGGAACACGTGGAGGACATTTATATAATATTGGTGTACTCAAAACTAAAGGAAAATGGTCACTTCCATATGGATTATTTATGACTTTCCACTGAAGTAATGGTACAAGTGAAGGAGATGCGATACTGAGGTCTATGGAAGAGTAAGTTTTGTTGGCAAGGTTATAGTATGTTGCCTCTTTCCTATTCAACAGACAAGCATCTGATGGAACGAGAAAGTGTTCAATGAGACGACCTCGTGCATCACAGCTGAGAGTCACCCCACAGACCGTTATGCGCGTTCAGGTCCCCAAGGACCAGATAAGGTTCAGGTAGTTCGTCTATTAAAGACTGGAATTGAAGTTTTTCAAGACGGTGGTGCGGAGGTATATACAAAGAGCAGACGGCGACGAGTTTGTTTAAAAATAACTGCTCGAACAGCCACCGCCTCGAGGGAAGTCTGAAGGGGTAATTGTGTACATGCTATACCTTAACTAACTAAACTGCTACACCACCAGATGGTGGCATGGCATCATCTCTATCCTTTCGGAAGATTACGTAGTTATGTAAAAAGTTTGTGTTTGTTCGTTTTAAGTGTGTCTCTTGTACACACAGCACTCTAGGATTGTGTTCATGGAGGAGTTCTTGTAAGTCATCGAGGTTTCGAAGAAAGCCTCGGATGTTCCACTGTAATATTTCTGTCTGCATATTAAAAAAAGAGATGCTGCTGTGTGTACAGAGAGTATCCTGTGTTGGAGTGAGCTTGTTAATTAAGGTGGCAGGACGGTCGTCCGGCCCCATTGTTGGTTCTTTATTTTTCTTGATGCGCTCCAAGAAGCCGCGCCGCTCTTTCGGTACCAAGGGTACCGTTGTATCCATTGCCTCCTCAGAGGCACTGGGTGCCCGCACATGCGAGCTGGTGGTTCGGATTTTAGGCCTCGCCTGGTGCGGTGAGGCCTTGAGACCAGAGGATCCTGGAGTCTCCGGCCTCAATTCGCTAGGAGGCGGAGTAGACTGAACTACTGCCGCCTTGGGGGCAAGCGTCACAGCCGTCGGCTCGCTCTGCGCTGGCCGAAGGAGTGGCGAGGGCTGCTGCGGCGTTGCCCCCTGATGCGCCGCATCAGCATATGTAGCGCCATAAAATGGCGACACTCTTCATCTTGCTTTTTTGAATGAATGTGATATTTTCTTTAATTTTCAATGTGATGATTTCTTTTTCTTTTTTCCAAAATGAACAAGACCGTGAGTATGCGGCATGATTTCCGCCACAGTTCACACAGTGTGATGGTTCTTCACAGTTGTTTGAATTGTGGCCTGACACTCCACATTGTGCACAAGTTTGGTGACCACGACAGCTTTGTGAGCGGTGGCCATACCTCTGGCAATTAAAACAACGACGTGGGTTAGGTATGTATGGTCTGATCGACGTCTTCGTGTACCCTGTTTGAATACTTTCTGGCAGATTACTGAAAGCGAACGTGAGTATTAGGTGTTTTGTTGGTGTTACCTTGTTGTCTCTTCTGATGATGATCCTTTGTACATTGGTCACATTCTGACTTTTCCACCCCTCCAGAAGTTCCTCTTCGGTCAAGCCGAGCAAATAGCATCAGATACTACTCCACGGGTAGTGTTCATAGATCTGTGTGGTGTTACAGTGATCGGAGTGTTACCAAAAGTTGAAAGATTTTGTAGCTTCTCAAACTGTTCTTTTTCTCGAACTTCAAGAAGGAGGTCTCCGCTGGCCATTTTGGTAACTTTGTACCCGGCCCCAAGAGTTTCTGTGAGACATCTGGCTACTACAAAGGGGGATACAGTTCTGGCTTGCTTGCCACTTATCTCACTATGTATAACATGAAAATGGGGGAAGTTTTCATTTGATCGGTTGAAAAAGCCTAAGTCTTCGATGCGTACGTGCTTCAAGGCGGTACGATCACTTAATAAGAAAAACTCTCTATGCATGCCAGCTTAATTTTCTTCAGATGCGTTGGCGGCCACCCACCACGAAGCCCAACGAGGGGACGCAACAAGTTTGCGGATGCTAAAACCTGCAGACGCTAGCCGTACAATGCAACTATAACCCAATGCGCCTAGACCAACGTAGGCTATTTGCACAAAGTTAACCCTAGCTGCCAGGAAGTTTGAAAGTAAACAGAAGAGAGTAGAAGACAGGATAGATAAAAAAGTGAGAGATAAAGACGAAGATGTAGGGAGAAAGATAGGAAAAGGCGACTGCTGATTTCCCCTGGGTGGGTCAGCCCAGGGGTGCCGTCTACGTGAAGCCGGGGCCAAAAGGGTGTGATGCCTCTGCTGGGGGGCCTTAAAGGTCCGATCACCCGGCGTCGGCTCAACCCTCAGGATCCCCTTTTCCCTGGACACGGCGGAGCCACGCACGGCTAGGTGTGGGAGTGAGTCAGAACTCCCCCGTTAACTCGGGTATTTTTGTAGCTGTATTTTTGGAAAGCTTGGCATAGCTGGTCTTTGAGGCCATCGCTTTTGTTGGCCCCGTAATCGACATACATACTGACAGGGAATCCATGATTATGATCGCGTTATAGGCATTCAAAGGTAGTTTTCACAGCGCTAGAACTATTGCCAACAGTTCAGCTTCAAAAACGGGAGTGAAATCCGGTAGTCTTAATGAAAAAGACCAGCCAAGCGAATGGAAGTATATACCTACACCTGTTTTTTCATCCTACTGAAGCATCTGTGGCTATAATATTATTCGTTTCTGCATGTGCAAGATAATCCTGCAGTCGGCTGTTTAAGACCTTATAAAAGCTACTCTCTTCCTCTTTACACTCAAAAACGTGTATGAGCCACAGCGGCTCTTTCTTCAATGGTGGCATGCAATGATTATAACATAAAGATAGCCATGGATACCCATCACTGAATCTCAAATCGACACTTCATGAACATTGCGATCTACCTAAAGAGGAGGTGCGAGACCTTGCGTGGTTCTTAGATAGAATACTTGGTTGGCACGCAGATTACAGCTGGGATCCTGACATCGTTTCTTTACAATCGTCGGGTCCATGCAGCCGACATCAGCTTTTTCCTAAAGCTCACGCGCTAAAATTACCCACGTGTGTTCTCACCATTCCTGGGTAGATAAGGGGTGTCATCATCTGTGGCACATACCCGCAAACCAGTGGCACATACCCACCCGCGGGTAGGTGCCACTGTTTGGGGGAATGTGTTTGACAACTTACAGGACAATATTGTAACATTATTCATGTCATGACCAGAGAGTCATATTTGTCGAATCTTATTAGAAAGAAAAAGGGCGCAAAATGAGAAACCAGACAAAGAAGGACATATACAGAACATTGACGTACAAAAAAAATTTTATTCTTCAAACCACGCATATATATCTATACAGTGAAACAAAAAGAAATGAAGCAAAAGTGATAGTTGTAGAATAAAAAAATGATCACCATAAAACCATTCTCATAGCATGCGTAATCAACCAGATAAAAAGACAATGTCCTTTTCTTAGAGGGCAACAGCGCTGTTTCCTTCCAATATGCCATACCAACGCGTTCAACGAACCACTTTATTGTCAAACCATTCTATGCAGAAAAAAATTGCACTAAAAAAAAAAATGATGCCACAAAGAAGGAACAATTAAACAAGTCATACACGAACTACAAACTGTTTTTATACACTGTAGAGCGTTCGTTAAGTAGCGAAACGAAACGTAGCTGTGCAGACGCCCCGAAAAACATCACATGCTAACACACCTTATTCATTAAAAAGGGCACTTCTGCACTGCAGAGCGATATCAAGGCCTCACTTTAAACAACAACCACTTCCCATGTTGATGAAGAATGCTTCGAAAACCTCACCAGCACACGTGCTTCTGCAATGTCCCAGAATCTCGTGCTTAACATCCACAGGCTGCGTAGTGGGCAGGCATGTTAGCCATTTCAATGGAGGCAACAGAGCTCGAAGTCTGTGTATTCAGATTTATGTGCACGTTAACCCCTTAACTGCTTTGAACGAGCTCTGCCCAAACTGTCACCAAACTGCTTCGGGCGAGTCGTCCTAGCAGAATAGGTACACCCCTATAGCCTTAGGCAGAGAAGCGCACATTTACGGCTTACATTGCGTGTCATGCACCAGATGGCAGCATTTTCTCGAGGATTTGGGTTCCTACTGCGGCAAGAGAGTGGTTTTTGTAGGGAAAGACAGTATGCAGTGGTGGTGACACACGCATAGCTGGCCAGTGTATAAAAAAAAAAAAATGCTATTTGTTTTCGCGATATTCTCGGAGTGATGGCGATTCGAGTGAAGATATTTATCGTGTGTCCAGAACGGAAGACAGCGATGACGGTGAATCGAGTAGCTGCTCAGGTGATGATGAAGACAGCTCGGACGCGAACATGTCGAGTGCCCACCAGTGAAACCGTCTTGCATTATTCCGCATTTTGAAATTTTTCGCGAAGCCCCGAAGCTTCTCAAGTGAAATATCCTAAGAGTGCTTAGCCTACAGAAATGGAGAAAGACGTGGCATGTGTAACTGTTTGGTTTATAAGGTTTTTAAATTTTATTAGCACTAGGTAGTTGGTTTCCTAAGTATTGTTCAGAAATAAACTTTATTTTGTTGATTTTACTATGTAGACAAAATATTTTTTCAGCATCGACTAGCTACTCTTTAGTACAATCAGATTCGAAATCAGGAATAGAAAAAATAGGCACTTTTTGACCGGAAATTTTCCAGAAAAATGAGCAGTTAAAGGGTTAAAGAACCCCAGGTGGGAAAGGCTCTCCACTAAGAGGTCTCTCGAAATCATGCATGCTGGTTTCGGGACGTCAAAGAAACGCCATCAATTATTATTCGCAGGATGAAGGGACTAATGAATGGAGCAATGAGGAATAAATAAAAAAAGTCTATTTCATGAACTGATGTCGAGACACAACCTCAAAATTGATTTGCCGCAAGTGGTGTATTGAAGGGACACAATACAAGCTTACCTCAAACAGGGCGAGCACCCAGAGCTCGTCGCTGACCTTTTGTCGTAGCTGCTCCATGCTGTTGCGCACAGAGTTGATGTACTGCTGGCCCACTTCCTTGCCTGAACTGGACATGCCTTGCCGGTACTGCATCAGTAGATCATAAAGACATTTCTGAATGTCATGCCATTTATTTGTTCTGCTAGAACAGAAGAAGCAGTAAAAATTAGGGCATCACTAGAGCAAGGCATGAAGAAACAGTGAAGCTAGGGGGCTTTCCTACTGCCGCTAAGCCTAGGTGATAGCCACAATGAAAGATCGCTAAGCCAAAGTTCATTTTCTCCCTCTCTTTGTTTCTCCCCTCATTATCTGTCTGTCTGGCTTGTCTGTCTGTCGAAAAACGTTTTTGCTGCTCGCGCACCTGCATACCGAGTGCTTACAATGCTCGCTCTCAGACCGAGGGCAAAAAAAAAAAAAAGAGAAAACAAACTTTTCCTCGTTTTTATTTATGTCTTCTCCTCGCTTTCTTCCAGCACATTCCTAGGCAAAGCATGGTGACATCGTCACTTGGCATGCACAATTTGCATACCACCTATGCCATTTTTAACGACACCGCTCTCGATGGACAGAGCTTGGTCTTAGCATGGTACAAACTGACTGGTGAGGTCAATTGCTATACATGCAGAATGAACTACGCGACGCCTAACAAGAAGAACTTTTAACCATTTGGCCCACCCTACAGAATAACTTAGCACCGTCAACTATTCGCAGAGTATCATTTCAGGCATTAAACGAAACAGAAAATTGAAATACATATGTCGTGACTTTACGTATTCGTAAAATTCTGCATAAACAGAAGAATAGTATTGAAACTACAGTCACCTGTACACCGGGTTATGTGGGGATCCAAGGGAGAGGTAATGAGGTGGCACACAGTCTTGCCACCTCAAATGCTGGACTTCTACTTTATCTCCAACCTCTCCTTTGTGCATCTCCTGATATTGGTAGCCACCCCAATGTAAATATGTCATCAAGCTATCACTTTGAAATGGCATGCATGCAGTGCTTCCTGAAGTATATTAACCAGGAGAGACTCAAGGATGTCACTCTTCCTCGTATCCTTCAGAATCTTGCCCTGAGCCAATTCCAGGAAATATTCTTAACAAAGTACTCACAAACGCAGCCACTGCACCTTATATAATTTACAAATGGCACATTCTTGTTCACTGGAAGAAGGGAATGGACACCTTTACACCCTGCATTCTTTTGTCACTCCAGTAATCAGTGGTACGAAGCTCACTTTATCTGACAAGAATAGCCCTGGCAATTTTTAACTTTGCAGTTGCATTCTCCATCAAACTCTCACTTCCTGTGCGTTGAACTGTTTTAGTACCCATGCAAAACTGCATGCAGCACGTCATACAGGTAAATTGCAAAATGACCGTGACCACAGTCAGGTTTTTCTTGCCGTTGGTCTTAACGATTGCCGGAGCTATCTTCATGCATGCCATTCTTCATGCACAATCAGCATGGAGCACCTAATTCTACACTGTCCTGGCCAACATCATTATCGAAAGAACAACGCCATTTTGTAACATCCAGATTTTGAAGCGGTACTAAAAAACATCTTCGATAATTCACATCAGCATGTCACAATAGCCCACTTCGGAGCTCTAATGTGTGGTTATCACTGCTTCCCCTCCTCCAGTCTCCCCGTTTGTTACCTTCAGTTCTCCCTTTCTCCTATAAAAAATCTATGTATCTACCAGCAGACACCGACGAGCCCTAACACGCACATTAAACATCCTCGTAGTTAAAATGCACTCACCCGTTATAGACTTCAGATTCTGGAGTTTTGTGAACATGCAGTGCCACCTGTCGACGCAGTTTTGAGTAGGGCAAAGCCCGACTTTCTTGCTCAACTTGCTGCGCAACCAGGTGCAACTACAGCACACAGAACACCGATTCAGCTAAATATTAGGTGTATTTGGGCATTGTTGTGCGTTGAACACTTGGTAAAAGAGCTATGAATTTCTCTCCGCTAGTCAAACGCATCACCGAACGGCCATAAAATGCTTGCTGGTTCACTCACCAGAACGATGGCGAAAACAAAAGCAGATACACCAGCTCTGCATTCTATGAAAGGAGACCCCACTCGGCCCTACTGTTGAGTTGTGAATTGCCACAAACGTAAACGATTTAAGTTTCACCAATTTTCGCAGCTTTCTAAGAGCAGAACAATGAGAGCGCTGGATGTGGGCTGTTCCTAGCGTGTTGGGTAAGCGAATTACTCGCGTTCTCCACAACCGGTAGCATGATAAAGTGTGATAGTGTAGGTCTCCTGTTAGTGTTTTCAGTAGCCATGACGGAGAACCGTGGTAACATTCATTTGAAGGTAACAGAGCATCTGACTGCGGTGGGCGCCGTGCAAGAGTAGACAGGTGATGCAAGCAATAAACATCGCACACACCGCGACCATGAATAGTCTGAAGTTGTCGCTATTATGCAGCATTACACATGTATGCCTTTGAAAGCTCCCAGTTCTAGCTTTGACTACGAAATGCAAACACGTACATCGCGACCAAAATCAGGTTTTTCTTGCTGTTGGTCTTCGCAATTGCTGGAGCTATCTCGGAGGCCTCAGTTTTGCTTTTTGTTGTATACTGAGAAAGTGAACACGCCTGTATCCCTTTTTGCAGTACATACAAATGGAAGACAACCATGAACAGAACATTATAGTATGCGTAATAAAACACTTCAACGCACAGGAAGCGTGAGCTCGATGGAGAATGCAGCTGCAATGGGGAAAACTCGCCAGGGCCATTCGTGCCCGATAAAGCAAGTTTCCTACTCCTGATCGTTAGATTGCTCGTGTATGCACTTCAACGCTTTGGCATCTTGTGTATGCCTAAGTTTAACGTACGTAAGCATTACAGAATGCTCGTCGGAGTGCTTGCCTCGAATTCGATGTCATGCAAAGCTCACTCACACCACACCAAAATAACAAACATCATTTGCAATGTACCTGCAGTTTGTTTTGATGAGCTTCTTATTTTAATTAAACAAGCTTGGATTGAAGGAAGAGGCTTGCCAAGACTTTGATTTTCAGGAAACTGTGCCTCAATGCACACGAAAAAGGAGGGCCTATGCATGCTATGAAAGTGCCGACACCCTTTGTAAAGTTGTTTAAGCTGCGTGGCGTACGTGTCTCGCCCAAAAGCCGCATTTCGGGTTACAACCACCGGGCGGTAGGTGGCATTGTGTTCGCGGGAGTTGGCCACCACTATCGTCATCATCATCATGGGGTAGCGCCGGCAGTGACCCTTGGGGGAAGCAAGCCTTAGTGACGAGCGAGAGTTGAGCGACTCTCTTCTGCGCGTGGCGGTTGCAGCGAACGGTTGTCTCTAGCGTGGGCCCTCGGTGAATGGCACCGCAGGCCTGCGCGTCCGGGGGCCCTCGTGGTGAGTCAAGCGTTGGCGACGCCGCGTTGGGTGTGTCACTGTGTTTGTCAAGTTGTGTGTTTGTCGTGTTATTGTGTAAGGATGTCCTAGCGTGTTAATTGCAATTGATGTGTCGATTCGCTGGACGATATCGTCGTTCGAATGTAGGTAAATAAATGTATGTATGTTGTTTGGTATTGTACGGACCGTGTCAACTGTGTCCGTTCACTCCAAGAGTGTGGCCTGCGCTCGCCGATTCGAGACCCCACAATGCTCACATGCGGAGGGCTCTCTTTGCACAATCCATTTATGGCGGCACGGTGATGGGGGAACCGATGGCGGCGTTTTTCGCAAGGCCCCCGGGTAGAGCCTGACATCTAGGACAAGATATAGCAAAAATTTCGTTGTAGTGAAATAAAAAAAAATATAGCTGATCTGAGCTAGCAAAACAAAGAAACAATTATTTTCAAAATTCAGAGAGTCCGCTGCTTCCTATTCCTTCCCAGCAGCATCACGACGCCATTCTCAGTCATGCATCATCATCGCGAGGCCATGATGAAAAGCACACTGAAACAATGCCAACAACTACTTTCGTGAACATACCAAACAGTTGCATTAACACATTAACACTTGCAGCTGTCCGCCGTCAAAGTGTATCCGACAACGCTGAGAGGAGGCGGGTCTCAGAAGGCGCCGGAGCGCTATCAATACATTAGGGTTGAACTTAGGGCTGTCGGGCGCTCGGTCCGATGGCCGGGCGGGCGATGGCTAACGAGGCTAAGAAAACCACGGGCGAGAGTGAGCTGGTGCATTGCGAAGAATGCAAGCACTGGTGCTACTTGGGCAAGATAGAATTCTCGAGTTTGGCCGACGCGCAGAAGGTGAGCTTCTGGTGCAGGCTGTGCGAGGCACTGAAAGCGGCCGTGCAGCACATGGAGGCTAGCATTGAGGGGCTTCAGGGGGAGCTTAGGGCAGAACGGGAGCAGATGATAGAGGATGTGACCATATGCACAGTCCCAGAGGTCTGGGGGCAGTCTCGTGGGATTGAAAGGAGAATAGTGGAGGCCAACTGTGTGATCAAGGGTATGAGCTGGCAACTCGGATACAGCGTAATGGAAGTGAACCAAGACGTGTACGAGCCCGGCGCTCGCCCCTTTGCACAGGATGGCATTCACTACAGTGGTGCGACAGGCAGGAGGGTCAGTAATAGAATGGGTCATCATACCATAGCTTTTTGGTGGGACCCAGAGCCCTGAGGCCAACAGTGTAGCCAAAGACGGTTCTAAATGGGACACAAATATTCAAGCCACACGGAGTCCGTGGGAGAAGAAATCGACGTAAGCACAGGCGCCGAGTTAAGTCAGACATAGGCTATATTAACATGCAGGGTGGCAGGAATAGGTTAAAGTCGGAAGAGATAGAAAAGCAGTTGAGGCAGGAGGAGCTGATGGTATATGGGGTTGTGGAGACACATCTTCTGGACATGGAGCAACCACCTTGCAATCCAGGCTACTTATGAGAATATTGCAATAGAACAGAAGGCAGCAAAAAGGCGAGTGGGATCGGTGCATTCATACTTAAAAGTATGGGTTGGCAAAGAGTCAAGCAGGGATGCATGGAACATTTATGGTTAAGAGGGAAAGTAGCTAACTAGTAGCAATAAACTCGGCTGTTATAACTAATACAGTTGTGATAGTCACCTTGGTC